CCTAGCGCTAGGTACAGCACCGCTAACTCTGAGAAGAAAGCAATTAATGTACAATTACTGGCTTCAGACCGCACAAAATCATGATCATCCAGCATGTGACGCTTTTAACACCAATACAAAAAAAGTTCACGGGGATGCCAATAAAAAACGTTCTTAGTAGAAATTAAAACTAATAAGGAACTAGTAAGGACCATGAATTGGGTAAGTTATACAAATCTTAGATACCACCATGTATAGATATGAGCATGGCACAACATATTTCACAAAAGTAACTAAAAGTAAGAACCATAGCAAAGCAGCACATTAGAAACATTGAGACAGAAAAAATGGTTAAACACGGATGGATAAAAAAAATAAAAATGATATGTAGGAACAGGTGTTATATATTCCTTCCTTGAAAATACAAAAATCTTATAAAATCACAGATCATACATTAGTTTTCACAGCCGAACTAGTTGATATAATGAAAGCCTTATAGCTGCTGAACATCTCTCCTTGAAATTGACAATAATGATAGATTCTCTTTCATCAGTACAATCGCTAGGAAACTACGAAGGGAAGTAGATCTGACATTAAAGAGGAGGAGATATTAACACTAACCACACAACTTAGGAACAGCGGATGCCAGATAACCATAGCATGAGTTCCAGCGCATAAAGATATAGTCAGCCCAATAACACATTGAATGGCCACAGATTAAACGTTGTCAGGAAATTTACTCATCTAGGCAGCACCCTTTCACAGAGTGCCACAATTGACGACAAAGCAAGTGCAAGGATCTCTACGGCTAGCGTTGTCTTTGGCAGATTGTACAAAAATGTTTGGAAGTGGCATAACCCTGCAGACAAAGTTTAAAGTATACAGAGCAGTTGTATTAACTACACTGCTAAACGCATGCGAAAAACGGACTGTATACCAGCGCCAGGCTAGAAAGCTAAACGACTTTCACACAGTCTGCTTTAGGAAACTAAAGATCAGATGGTAAGAGAATGTACCTGATACAGTAGTCCTTGAGAAAGCAGCCATGCCCAGCATCCACACTCCACTGATGCAGTATCAAATTCGTTGGGCCGGTCATGTGGCACGCATGCCAGATCACTGGCTCCAAAAAAAAAAAATCTTCTATGGTGAGCTGCAAAATGGGAAACGTTCCCAAGGCGGGAAAAAGAAACGCTTTAAGGACACCTTGAAGTCTTGACTCAAAGCATTTGGGACGAATGACACCAATTGGGAGGCTGCCTCTCACGGCCGAAATGCATGGCGTGCAACTCTACACAAGGGTGCAGCTACAGAAAGGCGACTGCAGGAGATTCCCTTCCTGGCACAACACTCATTCTCTGTCCTCACTGTCCAAGAACTTTTCGGGCTAGCATCGACCTCATCAGTCATCTTCGTACTCATACTCGATGAAAAATAGTGGTAGTCATCATATTGATGGACAACACACACAGTGATGAAAAGGCGGACAGTTTTGAAAAAAAAAGAGGTACTAGCAACCATAACATAATAGAAAAGGGCCTAGGAAAAACTGAGGGGAAGAGTGAGATAAAACGGTATAGACAGAGGGAAATGAGTGATACGGGTAGAAGGGTGTGCACATATTTAAGAGAACCCGACCTGACAACCTAAAAATTCCAGCAAATAACAACATTATTGAGATTAAGACTTGGATACTGGAAAGCCACATTTACAGCACCGTTATGCCTAGATTTATTTCATGAAAACACACTAGACCACTTCCTGCTAACATGCATCATATATAAACAGGAAAGAAAACCCCAGGAAGACTATTTTCAAAAACTAAATAAGTCATTGACATCCAAGGAATGCTTACATGTTGATAATAATGAGAACATACAGAAACAAATACGTTTATTAGGAAAGAGTAGGCATTACAAAAGTCTTCTCAATGCTCAGTCTATGAAGGCTCAGGTGGCTGGGTCACACCTCAAGAATGGAGGATGGCAGAGTCCGTAAGAAATATCCTTAATGTGAATTGAAGACGGGCAAAAGATGTCGAGGCCGACCTATACTACGTTATAAAAATGTGTTCTAGCAGGACATGAAGGATACAGGTAATGAGATGGACTCGATGGAACAAAATGCCAAGGACCGTCTTGTGTAGAGGGGGCACATTAGGCAGGGAGTGAGAACGAAGGAGGAAATGATCGCAGAAAGGGCGAGAGCTGAGCATTTGAGAAGAAACAGACTAAACACAAGCATTGACAACAATGGTCTTGAAATCCCATGCTGTAACGATGGAAGACTTTTTTTTAATGCGGGCGGTTCTTAATAGTCATACTCGCTATCACCATGGGCTGTGAGTCCTATGTCTCCTCATTGCGCAATATAACACTATCGTCTGAAAAGATGGAAAGGTGGCAGTCATCAGTCATCTTGTTTACATTCAGTAGTTTCCATGGTCGCATTTAGACTTTTGATGAGGCCCTAAGACATATAAAGCACTGAGGCCTTTACTGTTGAAAATTGCACCAGCTGCTCTCAGAACACTTGGAGAAAATCAGTTTTTGTTTTTAACCCCATGAGTTAATTTCTTTTTAAGACTTCTTTAGCAGAACCGTCTTAATGCATGCGTCTAGGGGACCCAAGCTGATCTGTGAATGTCAAGTGATTTGCTATATAAGAAGTTTAAAGTAATTTCCTACTATGACATCTAGTCTGTGTTTACGCTTTAACACCAGTTTTGTTAACGTGCCAATACAATTATTACATGTTTAATATTATCGACCATAAACATGCGATAAGGTGAGTGATAGGGGCCCCAGCATATGGTTTTGCCGGGGGCCCTCATTGTCGTTAGGACGGCCCTGATCTTTAGTACTGTGTTAATTTCCACATGGCATTCTTATCATTCGTCTCAGAGCAGTTCCGGACAAAGTTTCACTGGCTCAGCTGACGTCACAAATCTGTGGGGCAAGTTGTGGCACTAAAGGAAAGACATGACTAACCAATGTCACACCGCGTGAGCTATGAACTAAAGGGCAAGCCAGGACTGCCATTGGGATTTTTATCAAAACCCAAGATGAGGCTTATAAGAACCCAAGATTTGAATAAAAACTTAAAACCCAGTATTGTCAGATATTTACTGTCGGCTCTGTGGCTAAGTCGATGCCACGGCCAGCTCTAGATTTATAAGCCCGTACAGCTCGAACGGGAATTCCCGTTCTCGTGCAAGAATTGAGTCCTTCTGAGACCACAGTTTTTATCGAGGAGATGTATACGCAAATTAAACTACAGTTTCATTAATTTTCGACATATTTTTTTTTAGCACTATACGTCATTTTTAAGGTAAATAAGTGTGCCGAATATAACAATAAAGGCTCTTACAAACAAAAATGCTTTTGCTACAGTCAACATGAACATAAACATCAATAACGTTTAGATGTAAACTAAAAGTTGTTCCAGCAAAAGTAAAGAAATATCAGTGCTAACTCTTTGATTCTGAGAGGGTATTGTTGCATCAGAGGAGCGGGGTGGGGGGGGAGGGGGAAGGGGTGACATTTGTACTTTATCAAATTTAGCGCATAAAAATACTGCTATGAAACATACACATATAATACATAACATAAATATAAACTATAATTGATGGTTTTTTTTAATTATTATTATTAAATTAGTAGACTACTACAACATATAATTACAATGTTATTTAAAACCTAATTAGTAAACAAGCACAATCAGCATGAATCTTCTCCTTGATATGTGCAATACTTTTTGTTCTCTCCACCCAGAGTAGTTTTTCAATTTTCTTTGTTTTAACGTATATATAACATTTGTTCTTTTCTTTTCTTACTATAGCATTATTAAATATGTATCCTTAAGGTACAAACAGCACAAACAAATTTGTCCAATTCTATCTTGTTGGATGAAATCAATTCCTTACCATTCCGAATTTTTTTGGTAACAAAAAAAAGGAAGTGGATGACATATGCAGCCGGACGTGGTCGATGCAAACGCTTCGTAATGCCGGGATGCCGGGTTCGATTCCAGCTGCAGGCCATGCGCCTTGCGTTGGTTTCGACAGTGGTATCAAGAAATCCGACCGTCCAGGGAGCAATGGCAAACTACTGGACGTAAATTTGCCTAGAAAAACGTCTGCAACGTCCTGTAAAGGATACGCAACTAACCTATTGTCGGATAGTATTTTTATACTTATGAAACTGAACATTTTCTAACTTTTTTGAAAAAATGTTATGCCAACAGCTCTTCTTCCTAAGCGATTTAATTCGTCGTCTCTTTCTGATTTTCCAATCTCTTTACATATCTTCAACATAACAGCACTACTTTGCAATCTTTCAACAACTCTTTATTTGATGTCCGTGTTGTACGGTCGTTACTGTCTCTAATGTTTGCTTCTCTTGCAAGAATTCCATCCTTCTTTGTGGCTGCTTTCAAAGAATTGGTTTCCTTAATTTTCACACAGTTCATTCGGGAAAATGTGCGCTTAACTTCTGTTGAAGAATGAGGCAAACAAGTGAGGTTAGTCATTAATCTAATAAAATATCACATTTTGAAAGCTGCAAGCCATCCTCAATGCCTTTCAATATAAAAACAAAGAACTCCAGACGGCAACCCTCCCCGCACCCCCCTCCCCCCCCCCCCCCAAAAAAAAACTCAGATCTTGGGGGGAAAACCCAGCATTGGCAGCCCTTCTAAAAGTGAACAAAAAGAGGGAAAGGCGACAAACGTCATTTTCTAAATTTAGACTAAACAATTTATGTTTAAATTAATATATTTTTATGCAATATCAATTCAGTGTCTTATACAATGTATAAAGAAATACAAATTTATAATATAGCTATTAAAATTAAACAATAAAATTAAAACCTTGCAGTAAGCATTATGTGATCATGTGACCTGCATGTTAATGAGTAGCCTCAGTTTTTTGGAGTTTGGGTGATTCTTTATTCGCCCGCGTCCCCCTCGCCGACAAGTCGTTTCTTTGAGAGCTTGTGTCAGTTTTTCACCTACAGTTTATAATGCCGGTAAGTTTATGTCTTCCTTGTTGGTTGTTGTGGTTTAGTAGTTAATTAACTATTGTAATAGCTATGTTTTATCAGATTGTGTCAGTTAAATTGTGGGTGAAATAGTTTATAAACGTGTAGGATATAGAGTCATGCCGCCGGTCTTATCAGTCGCCATGTTGGTGGAATAATCACCGTTTAAAATGCCTGGAGTATATTATTTGTCTAAAACATTTCTTTTTTTTTGGTTGTTCCTGTTGTTCACTAGTGATCAGATCTTGCAATTGCTATATTTTTTATTAAAATAGTCACATAACGTGTGAGCTGTTAGTTACTGGTTAGTTAGTTAGTTCATAAAACGTGCACTACTCAGAATGTCGGTCATGCCGCCGGTCTCGTCTTTTACATGTCGCCATTTTTAATTTCATAGTTTCTTTGAAACTGAAATATTCAGAGGTTGATTATGTGTAAGATATTGCGCTCATCGGCAGATGAGAATCATAAAATTCTGATCAGATTTGGTTTATTAGAAGGATAAATAGAACAAAATCAAGTTTTGTTGCACACATTACCACGATGAGTCATCAACTAGAGCACGTTGAGAGTACATCGTAATACGGCAGGAGAATAGGAACGTTTGTTGAAATGTAGTTTTGAAGAATAAAACACAATGGAGACAGCCTAATTTCTCTAAATAGTTAACAAAGAAAACGATGTGCTTATAAGGAAGCTGTTTTTTGGCACGTTTGTGGAAACTGGAATCCTGACAATTAGAAAGTTGAATAAAAAAAAAAAAGTTGAAAGGGAATGAAACTTGAAAGACCCCAATATTGGCTTTGTTTGCAGAGTGGCTGGTACAGGAAGTATTGATAAGGCAAGCATATGAGGTCTGAGATGAATTGAGACAAAGGACCACATGTTGAAAATGGATTAAATGAGGATGAGCATGTAAAAACTAGCTGCGAGGTAAAGAAGATATGCCAAGCAGCTCCTGGATGTGTTGAACATGGAAACCTCAGATGGCTGCTGCATCCGAGGGGTGGAGCACGAATGGGTCGGATCAATGTGCTAAGTTATAGACAAGTAACAAGAAACTTAAAAATGGTGGTGACTAAGAATATTTGGTCTCATGGTTTGGAGAAACATCAGCGTAGAAATGGTTGCCAGTACACTAAACTGGCCAACGGCGCTTCGTGAGCTTAGAGACAGAAGTCTACCAGAGTTAGGTGTGATTAGGGAATTTATGACTTTGAAATTATGCAGGTAAAAGACCTCTTACAGCGTAAGACAATCCCAATCAGCACAAAGAGACATCTTATTCAAAGCATATTTATTCCAACTCTGTGCTACCAGTGCCAGACATGGTCACACACAACAAACCATAAAAGAAAATTAGTAACTACGGAAATGTCTGAGAAGGGCTGTAGGAGTGACCATAAGAGATAAGATCAGGAATGAGATCATAAGAGAACAAGTTGGCACAGAACCAATTCTGGATTGCATACAAAGACAGCAAGTGAAATGGTTTTCCCACTTAGAGAGAATGCTCCGTGACACCATACCATACAAAGCATACATGGAAAGAGAAGGTCGTAGAGCACAGGGTAGACCAAGAACAAGATGGAAGGATAACATCAGAGAAACTCTACAACAGCACGATGTGCCTATGGTCGAGGCAGCCAGAAGAGCTAGAAACAGAACCTTATATCTTCCTCGACACCCACATCAGTAAAAGAGGAAGTGAAGAAGAAAAGAAGAAAGGCCTTAACCCTACCAGTAGTGTAGATACAAGCATACTCATTGTATATTTACCAATTGCAAATAAGTGAGGTAGTCAGCTTCATGTCAGCAGCCTTCTTTTTCCAGTACTTTTACTGGGTAACCATTTAGACTGGGTTGACCTCACATCCAGGGTCATTCTTAAAATCTGATTTTGTGGATTTGAACCCTGGCCGGCTGGCATCTCGTTACGAATATTGAGAGTACTTAGGGGAATGCTAAATGTTGCTATCCTCCGAATAACGGGCACATATTATGGCGGCTGCAAAAAAAAACTAACAGAGCCTCAGTCACGTGTCAATTGCGAATTTCTGGCAAATTCTGACACAGCTGAGAGTATCCCCCACACCGTTCACTGAAAGGCAAGGAACTAGCAGTCTACATAGAAATATGCCAGATTTTTGAAAAGTGATGTACACAGTAAACTGGCCTCGAAACAAACTAAAGTTCAGAAATGGACAGCCAGCCAGAGCACTCCGCTGGAGTTTACAGATGAACTTGAGTTGTGTGGTTATGTTTCAGTTAAAACGCTTTAACAGAATTAATTGGCGTCATTAATTTTTTTAAAAATGTGTGGTTGATATTTAATGCATACTTTTTTTTTTCATACAGTATCAAGGTGGTGGTGGTGGTTATGGAGGAGGAAGCCGATTTGGGGGCAGTGGTGGTGGTAGAGGCCGTGGTGGTGGACGAGGAGGCGGTGGTGGCGGTAGATATTCTGACGACGGTGGTGACCCTAATTCTGAACAGTTCAGGAAGCTCTTTGTTGGTGGTCTAAGCTATGAGACAACAGAGGACAGTCTTAGAGCACACTTTGAGCAGTGGGGAGAAATTGTTGACTGCGTGGTCATGAGAGATCCAAACACAAAAAGGTGAGATATTAGTCTCCACTATTTTCTTGAAATGAACTCTCATTAAGAGAACTTCAGAAACACATTAGAAAACAAATGTGTTATAATCACACACAAAAAAAAAGAATTCGTCAAAACGGAACAAAGTCAGTATTTCACTCATAAATTATGTATAAGCCCTACAGCTCTGCCAGTGTCTTATGTCTGAAACACTTAACAGCATGTCTTGAAAAGATGCATCTCTCTTGGCGTTGCTATTAAGCAACCTGTGGTCACACCTAGCAGACCTGACAAGCTAAGCTTTCTCAGAAATCTGAGAGATTTGCGTTTATCACACACAGTGGGAGCAGAGCATGACCTGAGATCACTGAAGAATCGCCATAGGAAGAAAAACATAAGAGGGTCTTGTTACACATGCATTTTTTTTTTATATTGGTTTTTTTATTTTATAATTGTGTTCTTTCTCTAATTGGTCCAAGAACAATTCACCAGTCAGTTAACACATGCATACATATATATCATTTTCTTAGTACACATGAAAACTCACCTGATGGCTCTTAAAATCTTATGCTAAAGAATATAGGACTAGATTATACGGGATGCTATTCATTTTACGTTTACTCAGGTAAACAACTTGCAGTGATCTGCGGGCCACTTGTTAGACCTCAGGGGGCCACTGGTTTATCCCTGATTGATGGTGACATTACCTTAGTGCTTATTAATTGATACACATTCTGCTGGCAGCATTTGCACTGTGAACCTCCCTGGGGGCCACAGGATTTTCTAGGTTGACTCTGTCTGATGACTGGGTTACAAGGCGTTTTCTGATAAAACACTGGTTCTAACTTTTTCATAAACTTTTAACCCAAAAGTTATGTTTGAAGTGCTCCAAACAGATGTGTGATAGTTAGCAAAGTCAGGTGAATCAGACATTTTATATATATATATATATATATATATATATATATATATGGAAACTGTTCATTTTAATTCTGCTTGTTTTTTGACTTGATAAATGTATCAGTGATGTACATGACATTTTGCAGGTCCAGAGGTTTTGGTTTCATCACCTATAAAGATGCAGCCAATATTGATGAAGCCCAGGCCAACAGGCCTCACAAAATTGACAACAGAGAAGTGGAAACAAAAAGAGCCATGCCAAGAGATGTAAGTACCTGATATGTGTAAGATGCATGTTTTTAAAACACTATGTATTGCAGGTGGGGAAACTGTTTTAAAAGATGGGGTGAGCTGGATGCAGTAGAGAAGGATAGGCATGGCGATGATTGGTTCAGAACCTAGTCTCCAATGCGGAATAGAACAAATTAAAAACCACTAGGGCCATCAATATATCCATGTGGAGTCTGGTCCAGTTTAGGATAAGGATAGACAGGCCCACTAACGCAACATATTATATATATATTTTTTTTTTTTTTTTGAGTCAGAATGATTTTGCTGAAAATACAAGAAATCAGCCTAGCAGATAAAAAGTCAATATCTCATTTGTTTTAATTTTCAGTCTGGTGGCGCAAGTAATCACGACAGTGTCAAGAAAATGTTTGTAGGTGGTTTGAAAGATGACACCACAGAAGAACAAGTCAGAGAAACTTTCTCCCCCTTTGGCAAAATTGAGCATGTGGACATTGTTGTAGACAAGGCAACTGGCAAAGTCCGAGGATTTGCCTTCGTTACGTTTAAGGATTACGACTCAGTTGATAAGGCTGTGTGTAAGTATTCATGTGTGTTATCTAGTTGTATGGAAAGCAGAGCAGTGATGTTGAAATATTTGCTATCTGATTGAATATGATGGATACAAATTCTACCACCTAGATCTCTGAGCTTTGCTACTGTAACCTAATAGAAATGCGTGGCCACCTTTGAGGATATAACTATTGTATCTTAACCTATTAGCTATCAGATGCTAACATCTACATGTTTCTTGTAAAACATTTCCTATAAGTGCAATGTTGTCATCCATGCAGTAGCATATTCTTGTAAAGCAAAAATGTTGTTGGTTCCGAGCTTTGGGAAGGCCTGGATATGAATATATTAACCAAACATATCTGGGGTGGGGGTGAGTGTCTTGTAAACTTTTTTTGAGCTATGTGTTATTTTCTGCATCATCATCATCAGTTCTCGTTATGCCTAGTGGCACATGAGGCTTCAGATAGGACTTTCCATGCTTTCCTGTCCTGTGCAATCTTCAGTGCAGTTTTCCATGTCAAAGATGCCGCACTCTCAGGTCACTTTCCATTGTTTGTCTCCATGTTGTTTTTAGGCGCCCCTGTTTTCTCTTTCCCTCTGGTGTCCATGTCATAGTCGATCTGGCTGATATAAATGGATATACAAATGTATGGTTGTGCCAAATAGATAAATAAAACTAAGATTCATGTGGGCAGTGCAATTTGAGGTAAAGAACTTAATACATTAATTGCTTTATGTTCAGTTGGTAATGCTGTGTGTAAGTTTTAAGTATTAATTATTTGTGTTAGAAGCAAAGCAGTGATGTTGAAATATTTGCTATCTGATTGATTATGATGGATACAAATTCTACCACCTAGATCTCTGAGCTTTGCTGCTGTACCTGACAGATGTATGGCCACCTTTGAGAATTTAACTTATTTTTCTTAACCTATTAGCCATTCTTGTTGTGACACATTTCCTATAAGTGCTATGTTGTCATCCATGCGGTAGCATATACTTGTAAAGCATAAATGCTGTTGGTTCTGAGCTTTGGGAAGGCCTAGATATGAATATATTTACTAAAAATATAATTGGGATAGAAAGGGATCCTTGTGAACTGTTTTGAGCAGTGTGTTATCATTTTCTGCATGCTGCAGTTCAGTTATCAGGGTCAGAGTTAATGACAGGAAACACACAGCACCTTTTTTTTTTTTCAACTGCTTCAAATGTATTACGTTTAAGGTTCATATTTATTGATTCACATTCCTGTATTTATAAATAGTTTAAAAAATCTGAACATAAGTCTTTGAACGCCTTACTGAAACTTTGAGATACCTATGTGCGATTTGATGTAAACAACTATTCACTGGTCGCTTTTTTTTTTTTCAGTGTTGAAAAGGCACGATCTGAACACAAGAAAGGTTGAAGTTAAGAAAGCTGTTTCCAAAGATCAGATGGATGGTAAGTTAACACTGGATAAATCCTCTAATATTGATCAAATATTTTGTATACTCCCTTTGTGCAGTTCACCCTATTGTGGGGTGGATAGAAAATAATAGGTCTGAAAGAAAAATTTTTCACATTCTCACATGGAGTACTTAACCAGATGTCTATCCTTCGCTTAATCACTTGACGGTTACCTATTTTTTAAAAAGTCGACACCAGTAAAAGTCTAACATGCCAAGCAAGCAAAGTACTATCAAAATCCCAGGTCATCAAGCTGTCTACTGTGGACATAGCCAGTTGTAAATCAGATTGGCTGGAAAGAAGGGTCAGCAAGGAAAAGGAATCTTGCGTTCCTATTTTTTTCTTAATGCCAGATTTAAAAATGCTGCTCTGCATTGCCTAAAAGCAGGTGTGACTTGTTTTTAATTTTAAAATCCATGTTCAGGTGGCGGCCGAGGTGGTGGATCAAGCAAAGGACGAGGAGGGCGATCATCAGATAGCTATGGAAGTTCAGGTTTCGGCAGTTATGGTAAGTTTGTGCTTGCAATTGGCTTTGTTCCATGAATGTTCTTTTTTCCATTCAGCTTTTCTGGGGAACAGAAACACAGCTGTGGTATATGATTTTGTAGAATTTTCTCGTTTTTCAGTGTTTGTGTTTTTTTTTTAAATTTTCTTAAACTTATGGCGTTTTGGGGTCCATTTTAGTAGAAAGAATAGAAATGCTTCTCAGCTAGCTTCAAAAAAAGCACACTAAAGATTTTGATGAAATGGAATGCTTTGTGCTGCAGATGTCATAATCTAGCTGTAAACCACATCACAATGTGCCAGCCTTCCTTCTGGGTCCGAACGCAGACAAAAAGTTTGAGATTTTGACCAAAACACCTGCAGGTATTTGTTGCCTGAATTAGCCGTCCCTGTCAGTTTTCAGGCATTGTCAATAATTGGAGTCATCTTAGTGTTTCAGTTTATGACAGTGTTTCATTAGGGCAGCTGCTTGTGTACGGTGCCAATGAGTTTTTGTTGTTGGATTTCAGTGAATAAAGCAGTGTCTTGTATTTAACAGGTGCCGGTACTGGGGGCTACAGTGCTGGAGGTTACGGAGGTGGTGGCGGCGGCTATGGAGCAGGACAAGGTTGGGGAGCAACTGGAGGTGGCTATGGCGATTACAGTAAGTTTCTTGTTTTATGTGATTCTTAATGGTATAGTCTCTTAATTAGTAATAGAAAAGTTTTTTTAGTACTATTATTCACATGGGTACTAGGTAAGGTCCTAGCAGAGTTTTAAAAAAAAAATATTGGCTTCCCAGGTTAACCCCAGTGTGGGTACCAATTAAGTCTATAAAACCAACTGGTGTGCCAATTAGTAGGTCTAGCTACCTTTAGAGTTCCGTTATTCCATGGATCACAATCGTAAAATGGAAGCAAAGGACTCCTTTTACAACAGTGCTGTGGTAAATATATGTGCCATATTTTTTACTTATGAGTAAAGCTGTGTTATATCCAGGTGACCTTGTTCTGTCATTGTCCAAAGCTATACACCCTGTAACTCACGAGAGGGAGGGTGTGTCAGTGTTTTTATCAGTATAGTCTTATATAAGTTTAGTTTGTCTGCCACGATTTTCTTGTGTATTCCGGGACCCCATTGTGTGTAGAAGCAGAATAAGCCCACTGCTTTTCTGCTCATGTGGCCTTATTTAGGGCTCCCCTTTGAAGTGGGAGAGCATCTACCTCTGGCAGCCATTGAGGTTTAGTATGACTGCAGAATTCAACTTCTGAACGTCTTCAATAGAAATAAATTAGCCTATTTAAAAAGCACTAGAATTCTTTAGACGAGCAGTTGCAAGAAACTTAAGATAAATTTAATTTAGGTTAAGGTATGTGAGTATACATTTGACTAATTACTGACTTTTGCAGGCAGTGCATGGGGAGGTGCAAGTGCTGGTGGCTTTGGATCAAACTACGGAGGAGACTATGGCGGCGGCCCAGTGAAAAGTGGCGGCTATTCTGCCCGTGCTCAGGGACCTTATGGAGGTAGGTGTTTTGTTTTTAAATGTAGGATTTGATGAATGCTTAGTACAATTTTTTCTGACAACCGTTTCGAACCCTGCTGCAGGCAATTTGGCAGCAGGCCGTCTTGCACATTTTTTAATAATAATATCAAGAGCTAACTGTTTAGCGAGTAAAATTGCCTAGTATAAACAGCTAGAAAAATGCCGGAGTTGGTTTTTAATTCTTTCAATAGAGACGCATGTTCTCAACTGCTGCAGTCACCTGGCTAGTGCAGTTATACAGTAGGAAAAAATCTCTGAGTAAGACATTGGGATATATTTTGTATTCCAATGTTAACTTGTCTTTATTTGTTCTTAGGGGCGGTTATTGGTATGCTGTGGACAACTGCAGCATCTGTGTACCTCATTACAGTTTATCAAATGTGAGCTGAAATTGTCTGAGCTGGCACATCTTGGATTGAATACAGTGCAGACCGCTTAAGATAAATTTATGTTGTGACTTTCATTCGGAATCGACATCACAGCACTCTGAACACTATGTGCGCTCACTCCCTATCTTGAACAGCTAGTGAAGAGGATTCTGCTGGTAACAGTCTGAGTTCAGAATAAGGAATTTATAAGAACCATGTCGTGGTCCCAGGCGAGTTCTCCTTACCTGGTCTGCACTGTATTAGTTTGTAAAGCTAGCAGTAGTCCAAGTGGTCCATCTCTTCCATTTCAATAAAGTTTGGTTACATCTTTCAGCAGGTGCATATGGACAAACTAACAGCTACGGCAGCGGTGGAGGCGGTGGATACAGACGTTAACTTGTTCCCTCACATCTAAGACCAAACGGCAGCAGGTAAGTTTTCATAGCACTTCATGGGACTGGTTTCTATACATTGTTAAGACCAGCTTATATTGGAATTTAAAAAAAAATAAAAGTGAACAGCCCAGTTAAGGGATGGTGCTCAGGTAGTCCAGAGGTGATGCCCTGGGTGCATGTCCACGTGCTAGTTGGGAATGCCTCATGAGGTGAGTAGATCTACACAGGCAGCATAATGTTTTAATATGTCCCACTATTTATACACATTATCCTGGTTATTACACCAGTCTGGATTTTGTCATAAAAGTTTGAATGGAGGCAGGCTTAAAAGAATGTTCGTCGCATGACGACGTCAAAGACCTAGTGTAAAGGTGGTCATAACTGCACTTAAGCTTGGAAGAGCTGGTGACCTTTAGAGGTATGGTTATATATTTTTGTTTCCTGATAAAAAATGTTTTTCTTGTCCTGTTTAGGTACTTAATAACTTGCTGTTTCCTTTCCTCACTTTACTTATAGGCAGGCAAACAGGGTGTAAGCAGATTAAGGATGCTAGAAACAGAAGATAGCAGGCAGGCAGTTGAGGCATCAGGCTAATGATAGGGTTGTATGGCTATCAGATCAGCCTAGGCAAAACATCCTATCTATGTTGCTGCTGCCACTGTAGAAGCAGAGAAAAGAGATGCATTAGGTCTGTTTTGGCAGTGCCTGCATATTTTAATTACTTGCTGCCAGATTTGTTTGTCTCGAATCTTTAAAACCGTCATTTTTCATTTGGTTTTTACCACCATGCCATAACTTAATTCCGCTCTTCAAATTTCGCTTTTGTTTCCATCATTCTTTTTTTCCCCCCACATTATCATCTGGATGTTTTCATTTTAATGTACAGTCATATTTTCTTGTGTTACTAAATGCGGTTCAAAATTTTTGTGGAATAAAACGAATATTTAAAATATTTAACATGCCTTTGTTTTATGTTTATTCTCTTGTTTTCTGGCTTTCCTGCAAAGTCTTTGTTTAAAATTAACTCCCATGGCATTTATTTTATGAGGTCAAACGTCAGAGCACTAGTAGTCGTGACTCACTTCTCTGCGGTTTCTAGTATGTGGGATCTACTTATACACAGAGCCGAAAGTTAGCATATATCAAACACCTCTGCGAACAGTCACGCACATAACACTGCTGTGAATGGTCACACGCACATAACACTGCCGTGAACGGTCACGCACATATCAACACTGCTGTGAACAGGCACCAATTTCCCCTAAAATCTGTAAGCTTAGACAGCTAGTCAGTAAAACAAATGTTTATTGGAATAGGCAGGTCACACTAAGATGGAGAAACGGGGACCATCTAAATGAACATTCCCTATGCATGATTGTTTAGGCTGCTTATGAAATGATTGTCAGCTAGACATTTGTTGTTGCTGAACAGCCAGATCAGGGTACAGAGACCACAGGTGTGCACTTAATAATAAAATGTTTATGGGTTCTAGATAGTTGTGACGTCCTATAAAATGACATGACTTTGAATAAATGTAATCTGATAAAATGAATATGCAGAAAAATAAGCCCAAACACAAGAAATACAATATTATTTTAAGCCCAGTCTGTCCAGGAAAACTGCATGCTTGTACATTTTAACTGCCAGTCCAAAAGCTATATAAAAAAAAACGGACCTGGTCAACAAATATCAGAAGAAGCTCGGCTGAGAGGTGTAAATTTTGTGCCATTCTGTAAACGGCCACAACGCAGTTACATTTTCAGATAAACTCAGAATGGAGTAGAGGACTGCTGGGAAGAAATTCACAGGAGATGGATAATGATACGATACTCAGCTGTAATTTTATTTCTCCATGACTGTCCTTAGTTAATTTTAGTCACTAAAAAACACTGACTAGTACTACTACCGCCGTGTCCTCTGATTCTGTGGATAAGTGATGTCAAACATGCCCTCTCATGACACTGCAAAGTTTGTGCAGTTCTGTGACAGATGCCAGCTGCATGTTCTTCTTCTTTGTGTTCACCAGCTGTACACTCTGGCGTAAAGTTCTGGTTCGTCCACTTCTGGACTGCAGTCATGCTCCAGAACCTGAGTGTTGCATGTGCATCAGTTTTACAGATCTGATTCAATTGAATGCAGACTGCTGGTTCCTTGCCTCTCAGGCAGATGCACTCCGACTTCAAAGGAAGCTCCCCAGTTAGTCGACTCTTACGACATGCTTTTGGGGAGGCAGTGGGTCTATTCTTGTTTTCCCCACAATAGGGCCCCGGAACCCACACGGGGGCCAGCTGCATGTGATTTGGCATCAGGCCACCTGTGTTGGATTCAACAGCTGTGTTAATCAGTGTCAAACAGCTAAACTTTAAATTTGCTTTAAAAGGCACAGTAGCCACACAAAAAATGCTTGGGCTGGTTCTGTAACATCTTGTGAAAGACAGGAAACGGCTGCATTATACTGTTTTACTACCTAGTTCTCTTCTGGAATCTTCAGCCATGAGAAGTGAAAATAGAGCAACTAATTTGTTTTTAAACACTCACTACTGGGTTCTGCTGCCCGGGGGTGGGGGTGAATAGACCCACTGCTCCGCTGGCAAGCGTGTTGTAAAAGACAATAAATTAGGTTTGATCAACTAAACTTTCAGCTGCTGAACGCTGAGAAGATAGGTCACTAATATATTACTAAATCTCGTGTGATATCCACAACAGCAATTACGACACTCACCAAACAGTTTGTAACAAAATAATAACCGTCAACACAGCTGCAGCTATATTATATTATATTTACAACCAGTGTTTACCAAACTTTGTCTTAGTGGTGGCATCTTTTTGCAAGAATTTTTTCCACGGTGCCCTAACCCTAAGTAAAAGTATGACTATTCTAATGCAAGATATTAAAAAAAGTGCCTCTGCGCCCTGTGAGGTCGTGGTCCCTGGGCTGCTGCGGGAATCACTGATATTATACAGTATCAGTCCTTTCCTGTAATTATGTCAAAGTGAATGAAAATGGTTTAACCTAACTACTTTACAATAAACAAGCAACTAGAAAATCATACTGTCTCTGAAATATATAGAGAAATGGGTCATATTTCATAAAAACCTATTTTAAGTCAAATAATATAGAGGTTTTGGAAAGACAACAAATGAAAGAGAATTACTGAAAGATGTCATCTGAAACACTTTTGCCACATTAAAATACTTTTAAAACCATACTGGAGGGGGTGGACAGTGACACAATTGGGAGGACTAGAGCATGATATGGGTGGGCACCAGTCTTCAGCTAACCTTCACTGTGGAGATGGCACCTAAACTGTTCTTAATCACTAAGTACTTATCTGACAGCTTAATCCAACTCTGTTGGTACCAAAACACTGCACGGTGACTCCTTGGGTAGCCAGATTTTCAAAGTACTGTTTGACCAATTGCAAAGCGTGAAAAAAATTTGTTGGCCATAGCTCACCCCATCTTTGCTCCTCTGCTGTGCCAAGGAAAAAACAGTGTTTATCACAATCCCTTGTGAAAGATTGACAGACTGCTGTCTCAGCATTAAAGCATACAGTAGCCATCCGAAGTGCTAACACAAACAGTCCGACATTAGAAATGCAGTTCATCATTGATGGTAGCAGAAGTCACCAACAGATCAGCAGTTCCCACGTGATCAATTTTAATCACATACGGGCACCACCAACATTGTGACAACAGGCATCGTGCAATGTTCTGAATCTACAATTCACACCATCACGTTGGTCACAGTAAAAAAAACATTCCAAATGCGCAGCTTAGTGTCACGCCATGCATTTAATTCAAAAGCTGGGCGAGGAAACTATTCAGTTTACAAATGGAGAAAAAAATTGCCTTAGCTTCAAACAGTGCCCCTGCCTAGCATCCGTTTTGACCGGAAGTTGGCCATAGCTCACATAGGTTATCCCATAACACAATACTGTGTGACTGAAAGTGTCCTAGCATGAGCTGGTTTTTACAGGCCCATGCTTTTCAAATATAACCCATGATACAGTATTATATTTTGTATTGTGCTGTCAGCTCCGTGTCACTTGACCAGTATGGTTGAAGGGTGGGAGGCAGCTATTTGACATCCTTATTTTTGTCCACAACATGCTGTCAAACTATCCGGACAATTATTTCTCAACTGGTGCCGGCGCTTTTTTTTATATCATCAAAATAAGGTAACTGCGGTGAAGCTTCAACAGATCAATAAGGACAAGATTTGATTTTGATGAAAAAAACTAACCAGTGTACATGTCATTTTCACAGAAGCAGACAAGAACTTGCATATTTATTTTAAAAAAAAATGACCACAAGGAATGTAACTTGATATAAAGTAATCCGTCAAATTTGATTAAAAAAATAAGGCACTAAAATGGATATATCTATCCATTTATCAATGATTTGACAAATGTAAATGTAGACAGGCCATCACATTAATACCATGTTGTGGGAGACCCAGGTTCAAATTCTTAGTAGGGTGATGGCTGTTGTAGGAGACCCAGGTTCAAATTCTTAGTAGGGTGATGGCTGTTGTGGGAGACCCAGGTTCAAATTCTTAGTAGGGTGATGGCTGTTGTAGGAGACCCAGGTTCAAATTCTTGGCTCTCCTGTCAAATCCGGACGAAGAATAAAAAGCCTTGGACGACTTAGTCAGAGTTCTCTCCCTTTGCCGCACTGCAAACAGTGATTGGAAAAGCCAACGAAACAAACGACATACTTACCTATCATCATACGGTCGCGTGTAGGGCTGCGTACGGTTTCGTGAGGCATCGTGAAGGGATGCGTAGTCATCATACGGTTGCGTGTAGGGATGCGTAGTGTTTGGGTTTGAGTTAGGGGTAGGGTTAGGGTTAGGGGTAGGGTTAGATGTGAAAATTTTGACGTAGGATTTCGAAATACTAGCCGACAATCTGATGTTTGTGGGAGTGGTGCCACTGAAACTCTGCCAAATATGACGCCAATAGCGTGCGGCTGGTGCTCCTAATCGTTGGCGAAATG